AATATCAACATTTAGTGACCGATTTTCATTAAATGGCTACTTTTGCTTGATTAATAACTACTATTATTTTTCTTTATGGTTGTATTGAAATGCTATGACATGTTTACTCTTCCAATAGTAACACGAAACTGTTTAATGCTTCTATTTTTATATTTTAAGGTAATCAAGGACAGTCCCAGAAGGGAAATACAGGAGAACAGGTTTGACATAAATCATAGATTCAGCAAGAATACAAATATATATTATTAGAACATTACATTCACCACTTAACTGAAAGATTAGTATAATCAAGGTTCGTCATAGTAAAAAAATTAAAACTGACAGCAAAATTGAAATTGAGCTGGCAAACAGAGCATTTTACATTCAACAAAACAATGTTTTTCTGGTATATCAAATGTACTTAGTAACGTTATATTCATACTCATCAGATATTTTACGAAAAACGAACTAATTTCATAAAATTCCATATTATTGTTTATCTTTTATTTTACAGAAAGCTGAAAAAAAGAATGAAAAAGGTGGTATGTATCCATTTGTTTTGTTGTTCAATATATACTATAAAGGATTATAACAGAATAATGATATGATACCATAGCTTATATCTCTTTGCATTTTTGATATTTGGTGACATATGTTTAGAAACTTGTTACTTTGTCATGATAAAACAAACATGCAGTTACATTTCTTCTGGTTGCATTGAATTAAAATTACTTGTAACAAATATCAGAATTAACAAGACACTGTTATATGATCTTTTTTCTAATTCTTTTGTAGGAAAGGAAATACCTTCAAAGAGACAAAAGAGAGGAGCACAGGTATGATATACTCCATTGGTTCATCAAAAATAGAGAATATTGTTATATAGAATTCATTATATCTATTACAATCATTACGATGAATTATATTTTCCATGATCATCGCAATCAAAGCAGGTCTGAGCATACACATTATTTGAAGTGGAATTAAGTGTCAAAACATGTTACAATGAATAATGTCAGAATTTTATAACAGAATTATCCTTATAAAATAGTTTATACTAGATGATTTGATTACATCATGAGTTCATAATTATTTTATCTTTTTTATTGAAGAAAGCTGACGAAAAAGAAAATGCAGCTGGTATGTATTCATTTCATATGTTTTAGATATATATAAATGACGACAATATTGTTATGCTTATGCCTGCAGTATTTCTGTTTGTAATATCAATATTTAGTAACCGATTTTTATTAAATGGCTACTTTAGCTTGATTAATAACTACTTTTATTTTTCTTTATGGTTGTATTGAATTGCTAGGACTTGATTATTCTTCCAAAAGTAACACGAAACTGTTTAATGCGTTTATTACTATTCATTTTCAGATAATCATAGAAAGCCACAGACAGAAAATATAGGAGAGCAGGTTTGATATACATCAGCGGTTCAGCAAGAATAGAAATCATTGTAATCACCATATGACAATAAAACAAATTGGAATGCATATGGCAACCAGTGTCAAAGTTTTTTTTATAATGAGTAATGTCTGATTATTTACCAAAATCTTTTGATCTGTTCATATATATCCTTAGACGATTGTTTCTGATAGATGATTTGATTTCATAATTAGGTTATAATGCTTTATCTTTTATTTTGCAGAGAGCTGAAGATAAGTGTGTTGAAGTTGGTATGTATTCATTTGATTTGTTGTTGAAATATGTAATGATGGCGACAGAATGTGTATGCCTCTGCTCCTGGTATTTTTTTTATGTAGTACCAATATTTGGTGATCGATTTGTATTTAATTTGAACTGATGTTTTTGTGAAAGATTTTTATATAATGGCAGTTATGACTTAATTGAAACCATTCAATTTTCTGATTGATTTGAATTTATAACTCTTGAACCAAATATCAGCTTTTACAAGCAACTGTTTCACGTTTTTTTTATTCCATTGTAGAAAGTCAAAGTCAATCAGAGAGTCAAAAGAGAGAACAGGTTTGATATGCATCATGACTTGAAAATGGATATAGATTACTATAATATTGTATTCAATACACTTATAACAATTAACAGAATAAACATTGTTTTCCATGATCATCATAGCCAAAACCAAATCTGAAAAAAGAATTTGAAATGGTACCATTGTGTACTTGCACCAAGAGCATGTTACAATAAAAAATGTGTTACTAGTTTATCGAAATATTTTTAATCACTTCAAATTTATGGTCGTAAGATTTTTTCTGATAAGTAAATTGATTTCATAATTAGGTCATAATATTTTTTTCTCTTCTTTTGCAGAAGACTACAGAAAATGAAGATGAAGGTGGTAGGTATTTACTTGATATGTTTTTTGTAAATATAGTTGATAGTTAAAATATTGTTTGTGCAGCTGCAGTTGATATGAAGATAACATTAAATGAGATTAGTTGTAGAACTTCTAGAAGAGGTCAAGATGAAACGGATATGTTATGGGTCTTGTGTGTAGCTTAGGTAACCAATACAAAATAGTTACCTTTAAATTCAAATAGGCCTTAAAATGACTGGTGGTGATGATAAGATTGTTAACTACATGTATGTGATACACTGTGGAACCCTTTGGCTAACACAAATTTAACTTTCGTTGAATCTGGTCGCAAAACACCTGCAGAAATAGTCTTGGGTTACCTCTGGTCACATTACCAAGACATTAAGTTTGGAAACCTCTGGTCTACTTACACATGCATATATATGTGTCCTTAGACAAATATTTACCTTTCACAGGTATTGAAATATTTACACTTTGGTCACATTCAGCAGATAGTTACTTTGGTTATTTATGGTCACATACTCGTGCTATGCATATATAAGTGTTGGTTACCTTGGTCATCTTTCACAGATATTGCAAATGTAGCCTTTAGACATCATACATAGACATTAAATTTGGTAATTGCTCTTGACCTAATAATTACTTTGGTTACATATGGTCACCTTACACATATATTGAATTTGGTTACCTCTGACCACCTTATTGACTTTGGTTACACCTGGCCATTTTGCACAAATCTAAACATTTGTTAACTCTTGTCACTTTAAAAATGTATTGATCATGGTTACCTATGGTGACCTTACATCCAAAGCATAAATCTAATTAGGTTATATCCTTGTCACCTTTCACAGATATTTAAAGTAGTAACCTTTGGTCCCCTTACAAAGATATTAAATTTTGCTACCTCTGGTCACCTTATTAACCTCAGTGAATTCTGGACAAATACACCATTAAATAATGACTTCTGTTAACTCTGGTCACTCTTCTCCGTTACCATTTGTAATCATACACAGATATTGAATTTTGTTTTTGACCTAAAACAAATATTTACTTTGGTGTCTTCAGGTCACCTTACACTGGCATTGCAATTTGTAACCTCTGTTCTATTTCATCAGATATTATTGTGGTTTATTGTGGTTTTCTGTGGTCAAATACCTACGCCATGCAATTGTTGACTCTTGTTTACATCTGGTCACCTTACAATGACATTGCATTTGGTTTTGTGTGGTTATCTCATATAGATATTCAATTCCACTAGTGTACTCTGTCATCATACACAGAAATTGTGTCAAGTCAAGCAAATTGTAATATTCAAATATTGACTTCTGTAAACTCTGGTTCTTCTTTTCCGTTACCAATTATCATCATAAATAGATGTTGAACTTTGTAATTGCTCTTGACCTAAGACAAATATTTACTTTTGTAATCACTGGAAACCTAACACAGATATTGAATTTTATATTTATATATTAATTTGGGAGGCAGGACAAAGCATATAATTGTTTTTGCATTACGTCATGTGCTTTCAGGAAAAATATAACTGTATTTCTGTGCCAAAGTTTGTTATAGTCATTGCATTCATTGTTATTCTTTTTGCACTAGTCATCTTGGTGACACATCATAACATTTCAGGAGCACCAGAGATAATTGTTGATTTGATAACGATGTACGTTCTATTTCTAAATCAACGTTTGTAAGTTTAAGCTATTTTCATTCGTCACTTTAGCCTTTTCTAATGCACAGACCTTGTGCATGTAATGTGTGTAGGATTGAGAATTATAAATAAAGAAATTGACAAGCTGAATGAAGCAAACACTTTCTTTTATAATTGCAGATTCGAAGTTATGTTATGATTCCTGGGAGGAAGAAATGTTGCAGCTTGCAAAAGAAGCCCAGCAAAAGCTTTCGCCAGCAGAAAGAGATGGTAAAACCCCGAATGTTCTCATTCAAGCTGTGGTATTTCCAAATATACAATTAACATTTTGTTATACATCCCTATTTTAAATAGAATAATTTAATAACTATGGGTTGCAACTGAAATGCCTCCTTTGGAAAACTCTACCCTGAAAATACACGCTAATCCTTTCGTGTTGATGTTTCACTCCAAGCAGTGCTAGTTTTCAATATCTAGGACAGTGATAAGAGCATAACCATTTGATAATAGGAGTGGGCAGGATGAATTTTGAAATGAATAGTTTGGGACGGTTACAACTCTAAATTACTTGCCAAGACAAGATGGAAATAAATATTCTGACCAACAAAATGTTAGAATTAGTTTTTAACAATTGAAAATGAATAAACCGTACTTGGAACAGATACAGAATGATGCAATGATGAATTGTCTATCCACATGAATTCCTGACACCACCTTCTGAAAAAAAAATGTCGGCTTAAAGAAAGCTCAAAGACATTTTGTTATTGTTTTGTAACATGCCAACCTTAAATAAAGCTTTGGATTGATTTGAATGTTTGAAATGGTCGTCAGCTTAGCTCACCAGAAAGAATTGTAGAGCTACACAGTCAAGTATACAGATACATTAAAGTATAAATTTTAATTCATATAACCAAGTATATTATATATTTTGATATAAAAATGATGCAATGCATATAATGTAAACAATTGTTTTCAAATTGTAGCTTCCTGCAATGATTGGCCAGTTATGGTTCCTGGTAGACTAAGCCTAACAGGAAAAAAGAAGTTCTATGACGTTAGTAAGGAGGAAGTAAAAAGGCGAGTTGGATCTCCTGAAAACCTTTCATCGACTATGGTCTGTCAGTTGTTAAAGGTAACGACATTTGATTAAATCCTACTAGGAAAAACGTCCTTGACGCTTCAAGTTGTTGCATTTCCTCATTTAAAGTCAATATTTGAATAATGAGATTTGATAAAATTATTAATTCCTTTCCAGTTTGATAATGCCTAGCATTTAAATTAATTCTTTTTGCTTTATAGGATCATTGAAACATGTTAAAACAAATGGTAATTTAAAGGTGGAAACTAAATATTGTAATTTCACCAAATGTACAGTGTTTCGATATATTTTTTCTTCTTCATTGATTATATTTATTAATCAATTCACTATTACCCAATTAGCTCTACGGTACTTGTCATTCCTGGCTTTGTTGTGAGTATATCAGCAATTGTTCAATCCTTTATTTCATTATCTTCCCTAAGAAATTATTTTGGTAAGAAATGTTAAAAAGGATGAAAATGTGTTTGAAAACGTACTATTTTTTTATTTCCAGAGGAGCAGATCAGTGGCAAATATTCCACCAGGAATTGTTATAAGAAAGAACATCAAGACTTCTATAAGCTTATTTTCAGGCCTTACAGAAGGAGAGGCAAAAGACTTGGCTGATGATTTCAGCAACATTGTTGAAAAGAGCGAAATCTTTTCAAGGCTTAGTAAAATTTGCTCATCAAGAAAAGAAGCTAATGAAGTTCGGTAAGCAATTAAATTTTACAAGCCCCTCCTCTTTGGTAATAATCCTAGATAAAAAAGATGTAAGCTGCATAAAGTATGCTATGAAAATAGTTAAAAGCTGCCAAGAAAATAAAGATTATGTATTTTCGAGTATGATGAAGGAATAGCCATTTGCTTTTCAGAGGCCAAGGTTATTTTTGGAATATTTTATGATATACATGTTTGGCAATTACTTGAATAAAATAACTGTGCAAAAGATAGGATGAACATTCATATTTAATCCGACAAATTTCAGATTAATTCAGGATATGGTTGTGTAGAAACATGATGAAGTGAAAATATATTAAGAATAGCCGGCTTTAGCTCAGATGGCTATGGGCCAGGGTAAACTTTTGCCATTAAAATGATAATGTTTAACTTCACCACAACCAAAATATATTCTCGACGATTATTAGATAACAGAAATTTAAATTAAATAAAAACAACATAATTATGTGAAAAAAGAAATTTAAGGCAACAAGAAATCCTTCAAGATTGACATATAATTCCCCTTCCATACTTAATCGTTAGTTTTCCATTTGTTGTTGATTACTTGTTGCATTTGCATTCCAATATGCAATATTGTACTCAAATATGCATGTATACTATTAGTGTGCCAATCGACTTCAGACACAGTAATTTGCTCTAAAGTCGAATGGCACATTGGTAGTTTAGTCTAAAACTTGTTCTTAATGAACAGATTGTTTCATTTTATCAATACGTCACCATCCCCTAGACATAAGTCTTTTTATATCTGTGTTAACAAAGACTAACACATCAGTTATTCTTTTTTTCAGAGATGTTCTACTTAAAGCTGTTGACGTATTAGAAAATATTGGAGACCTAGAAGAGGGAAGCAGACTTACTCATGGTTTTATGAAACCAGCTTTAACTTTTGTTGTTAAAGAGTTGGCAAAACACATAGATTAATTTTTATACGACCGCAAAAGTAATTTTTTTGGGTCGTATATTGGTATCACGTCGTCGTCGTCGTCGTCAGCGCCGTGCGAAGACAGATGGTTTCCGGATAATAACTTTTATATAAGTAAATAGAAATCAATATAATTTTAACACAATGTTTATAACCACAAAAGGAAGGTTGGGATTGATTTTGGGGTTATGGTCCCAAAGGTTTAGGAATAAGGGGCCCAAAGGGGCCCAAAACAAGCATTTATCTAATTTTAGGACAATAACTTGTGTATAAGTAATTCAATTGCTCTGAAATTGTACCACAATGTTTAATACCATAAGTAGAAGGTTGGGATTTAATTTAAGGGTTATGGAGCAAATAGTCTAGGAATTAAGGGCCAAAAAGGGCCCAAAAACATGCATTTTTCTAGTTTCCGCACAATAACTTGTGTGTAACTGTATGGACCTCTCTGACATTTTACTACAAGGTTCAATATAACAAAGGAAAGCCTGGGATTGAGTTTGGGGTTAATTTCCCCGAACATGTAGGAATGAGGGGCCAAAAAAGGGCCAAAAAGAAGCATTTTTCTAGTTTACAGACAATAACTTGTGTTTAAGTGTATGGATCTCTCTAAAATTATACTACAAGGTTTCTTTCTACAAAGGAAAGGCTGGAATTGAATTTTGGGGTTCTTGCTCCAAGGGGGGTTTCAAAAAGTTGGGGCCAAAAAGGGGCCCAAATAAGCATTTTTGTAGTTTCCAGTCAATAACTTGTGTTTAAGTGAATAAATCTCTCTGAAATTGTACGACAAGTTTCCATACTACCAAGGAATGGTTATGGGGGGTTATGCTTAAAATCATTTAGCAATTAGGGGCAAAAAGAAGGAAAAACAAGGGTTTTTCTGGTTAAAGGACAATTTAGACAATTTAAAAGCAGTGTAAGGGAGGTAATCCAATTCCATTTAAAGAATACTGTTATATATATGTTTGATTACACTGCTTGCAAATTATGTATTAAGGAATGATATTGTCTTGAGATGATTAGCTGTAATCTTTTTTTAGAAGTTACTATTAATTAATATTAATTTTAACCATGACTGTATGTCATTTTATATTTCAATATGTTATGATATATTTAAATGAGTAGTTATTGTTGCAAACTCCATTAGAAATTTGAATGGAGATTATTTTTGGAACAAGGGAAAGGGGGAGGTGAAAAAATTGGGGGTGGGGGTGGGTAAATAAGAATTGGGGGGGGGGGGGGACAATTTTTCTCATTTCAGATTTCAGAAATTAAAAAGAAAATTTCTTCAATTTTTTTCTTTGAGGGGATCAATATTCAACAGCATAGTGATTTGCTCAAACGCAAAAACAAATGTTTAAGTTCATTAGACCACATTCATTCTGTGTCAGAAACCTATGCTGTGTCAACTATTTAATTACAATCCAAATTCAGAACTGTATCAAGCTTGAATGTTGTGTCCATACTTGCCCAAACTGTTCGGGGTTCGACCTCTGCGGTCGTATAAAGCTTTGCCTTGCATCTGGTTACCATTAAACAAACAGCAATTTTATAAAAATTACAATAAAACTTTTCGACAGGCTGTGTCTACTTGACGTTAACATTAATTGGTATCAGGTTCGTTCGCCCTGATACATGTTCGCCTGAGTCCTTTCGCCTGTAGAGTCTGTTCGTCCTAAATTCACAAAAGTGTCAACGTTGTTATAACGAAAGAAGTGATATCTTTACTTTAAAATCCATGACCCAAATTTTTTTACAGTGTAGTTTCATCCCCCTACTTGCCTTTTGGGGCATAAACATGAAGAAATGAATTTGGAAAGGGTATAAAAAAATAGCAAGTAGCACACTGTTCACACTAGGGACTATATTCGTAGACAACGAAAATCAAGGGACGATAACTGTGTTCCCAGACTAATATTGACTATGGTTACCTCTGGTTACCTTACACCGCTCTTCATATGTTGACCTAGGTTACCTCTGCTCACCTTGGACACATATTGACCATGTTTACCTCTGGTCTAGTTACAATGATGCTCTGGTCACATTACACACTCATTTAATTTGGTAACCTCTGGTCACCTTGTACATATATTCACTATGTTGACCACTGGTCACCTTAACATAATACTCACATTACACAATCATTCACTTTGGTTACTTCTGGTCACCAAACACATATATTGACGTTGGTTACCTCTGGTCACCCTACATCGCTGTTCATATATTGACTTAGGTTACCTCTGGTCACCTTGTACATAATGTCATTATGTTGACCTCTGGTCACCTTACAATAAATTTACATAACACAATCATTCACTTTGGTTACTTCTGGTCACCAAACACATATATTGACGTTGGTTACTTCTGGTCACCCTAAACCGCTGTTCATATATTGACTTAGGTAACCTCTAATCACCTTGTACATATATTCACTATGTTGACCTCTGGTCACCTTACAATAATGCTCACATAACACAAACATTCACTTTGGTTACTTTTTGTCACCAAACACATATATTGACGCTGGTTACCTCGGGTCCTTTCAACTAATAGGCCGGAGAACACAGTTATTTCGAAGTGCATTTCTTTAAGACATTAAATGGAAATTAAAAAAATCCCACCTGCGCTTTCTCAATAATATTTTTACAGTGTGGTGTACTACAGTGTACATCGAGTAGACATAGCATTTTGAAAGTTTTTATGGTTGCACACCTTAGTATTCACGAGGGTTGGATGCTTGTAGATTGATTCAGTGTTAATCTTTTATTTTGTTACATCATAAATAACTTTTAAAACATGGTATTTTGTCTGCTGTTAGGCATTATTGTTCATGGAATCTTTTGTTTATTTATTTTATTGAATTATGTACAATATGTATTTGCTACAACACTAAATGAATTAGAAATGAATTTACAAATAAAGTGACCACAATCTGAAATGAGACATGAGTTCAAAATCTTGAGATGTACCAACTGTCCATTCACAAAAAAACTGTCAGAAAACTTCTAAGAGCAGTTATTTATTTTAAAGGACGATTATTTCCAAAACAGATAAAAAATATAAGACAAGATAAACAAATAAATCTCATTGCAGAAACAAGGAGTTCAGTCCTAAAGGAGTTTTTGGTTTCCAGGCGATAATTTGTGTTAAAGTTTATGAAACTCTCTGAAATTGTACTTTTTTCCTGAAAAGAAATTAATCTATAAGTTTCTAAAAAAAAACTTTGTTTGATTTTATCAAAAACTGAATAATTTCGGCTATATGATATGCTGAATCTCATTGTGTATTTAGATTTTGGATTTTGGATCCTGTTTTGAAATTAGTACATATTAAGGTTTGAAGGGTCTAAAATTAAACTTTGTTTGATTACATCGAAGATCAAATGTTTATGCATTTTGTTTGTATACTGAATCTAATCTTGTTGTTGATTTGGGGTATCAGACCATACTTTGAGAATTAAATTTCTCATTTTTGTCGAGGCGGCTACGACGGAGGCGGCATTAGCTAACTTCTTAAAAGCTTTATATTTTAGAACGTGGAAGAGCCGGATGCTTCATACTTTCTATACAGAAGCCTTATGTTACGAAGTTTCCGTCTGTCACATGCCCATTGTCCTTGACTTAATGTTCGTGGTTCAGTGACTACTTGAAAAAAAAGTTGAATTTTTAGCCCACCTGGCACAAAGGGCAAAGTGAGCTATTCTCATCACTTGGCGTCTGTCGTCCGTCGTCGTCGCCGTTAACTTTTTACATTTTAAACTTCTTCTAGAGAACCACTGAATGGAATGGAACCAAACATGGCATGAATGATCCATATGAGGTGCTGACCAAGTTTTGTTACTTTGTAGCCGATCCATCATCCCAGATGGTCGCCAGCGGGGGAATTAGTTTAACATAGGACCCTATGAGATATACATACAAATGTCTTCTTTTAGAGAACCACTGAATGGAATGAAACAAAACATAGCATGAATGTTCCATATGTGGTGCTGACCAAGTGTTGTTACTTTGGAGCTGATCCATCATCCAAGATGGCCGCCAGCGGGGGACTTATTTTAACATAGGACCCTATGAGAAATACATACAAATGTCTTCTTATAGAGAACCACTGAATGGAATGAAACCAAACAGCATGAATGTTACTTATGAGATGCTGATCAAGTGTTGTTACTTTGTAGCCGATCCATCATCCAAGATGGCCGCCAGCGGGGCACTTATTTTAACATAGGACCCTATGGCAAATACATGCAAATGTCTTCTTTTAGAGAACCACTGAATGAAATGAATCTAAACATAGCATGAATGTTCCTTATGTAGTGCTGACTAAGTGTTGTTACTTTGTAGCCGATCCATCATCCAAGATGGCCGCCAGCGGGGGACTTAGATTAACATAGGACCCTATGGCAAATACATTCAAATGTCTTCTTTTAAAAAAAACACTGAATGGAATGAAACCAAACATAGCATGAATGTTCCTTATGAAGTACTGACCAAGTGTTCTTACTTTGTAGCCGATCCATCATCCAAGATGGTCGCCAGTGGGGGACTTAGTTTAACATAGGACCCCACGGGAAATACATACAAATGTCTTCTTTAAGAGAACCACTGAATGGAATGAATTTTACTTAAAGCTGTTGACGTATTAGAAAATATTGGAGACCTACAAGAGGGAAGCAGACTTACTCATGGTTTTATGAAACCAGTTTTAAATTTTGTTGTTAAACAGTTGGCAAAACACATAGATTAATTTTTTTCATTAAACTAACAGCAATTTTATCCTCTTTTTCTATCATAGAAATTACAATAAAACTTTTCGACAGGCTGTGTCTACTTGACGTTAACATTAATTGGTATCGGGTTCGTTCGCCCTGATACATGTTCGCCTGAGTCCTTTCGCCTGTAGAGTCTGTTCTAATAGTTGTAGGACACATAATATACCGTAGATACCCTGGAAGATGTATCATAGGTGTAAGACATATTATATACCGTAGATGCCCTTGTAGATTTATCATAGTTGTAGGACACATTATATACCGTATATACCCTGGTAGATTTATCTTAGTTGTAGAACACATTATAATATACTGTAGATACCCTGGTAGATGTATCATAGGTGCAGGACACATTATATACCGTAGATGCCCTGGTAGATTTATCATAGTTGTAGGACACATTAAATACTGTAGATACCCTGGTAAATGTATCATAGTTGTAAGACACATTATATACCGTAGATACCCTGGTAGATGTATCGTAGGTGTAGGACACATTATATACTGTAGGTACCCTGGTAAATGTATCATAGTTGTAAGACACATTATATACCGTAGATACCCTGGTAGATGTATCGTAGGTGTAGGACACATTATATACTGAAGGTACCCTGGTAGTTGTATCATAGTTGTAGGACACATTATATATTGTAGGCACCTTGGTAAATGTTTTATAGGTGTAGGACACATTATATATTGTAGGCACCTTGGTAAATGTTTCATATGTGTAGGATACATTATATACTGTATGTACCCTGGTAGATGCGTTTCATAGTTGTAGGACACATTATATACCATAGGTATCCTGGTAGATTTATCATAGGTGTAGAACACATTATAAACTGTATGTATCCTGGTAAATGTATCATAGATGTAGGACACATTATATACCATAGGTATCCTGGTAGATTTATCATAGGTGTAGGACACATTATATACTGTAGGTATCCTGGTAGATTTATCATAGATCTAGGACACATAATATACCGTAGATACCCTGGTAGATGTATCATAGGTGTAGGACACATTATATACTGTATGTACCCTGGTAGATGTATCATAGGTGAAGGACACATTATATACTGTACGTATCCTGGTAGATGCACCATAGTTGTAAGAAACATTAAAATATACTGTAGGTATCCTGGCAGATGTATCATAGGTGTAGGACACATTATATACTGTATGTATCCTGGTAGATGTTTCATAGATGTAGGACACATTATATACTGTTTGTATCCTGGTAGATGTATCATACATGTAGGACACTTTATATACTGTATGTATCCGGGTAGATTTATCATAGTTGTAGGACACATTATATACCGTATATACCCTGGTAGATTTATCTTAGTTGTAGGACACATTATATACCGTATATACCCTGGTAGATTTATCTTAGTTGTATGAC